CTGTACATATTATATGTATTTTAAAAAGTATTTTAAAAATTTATTATTTTCAGCTCTACTGTGTTTTGCTCATTTATTTGGAAAAATAATTTTGCAACTTACACCCATTCGTATTTCCACTGTTCAATTAATAAAATTGCGTTTTTCTCACCAACGTGGCCGAAATCGACAAAATATTATGAAGAGACAAATTTTAATCGCCATTAAACGGTCTACACGATTTTGCTAACGAGAAAACAAATTGGCGCCGGGAGGCACGTATAGCCACCCATATTAAAATATGTTAATAAAAAGTTGGTAGGCAGTTCTTTTAGTTTCAAAGTAAAGGAATTTTTCCAATTTTTTTTTATCTCAAAAACGGCGACTTTGACTGATTTTGATGTTATTACAAATTTTGTTGCAAATATTATTCCTAATCTTAAATTGAAAACCGCGTTTCGCTAGCTACTGTAATTTTGGAGTTATGATTTTGTAAAATTTTTAACACCCTCCCATACCCCCTTACCAACGCCCCACCCTCACCAAAAACTAATGGTCAGATTCTCGGGTGCCACAGTATTTTTATGTCAAATTTGGTTAAAATCGGTTTAGTGGGTTTTGAGTTATCGTGTTACAGACATACAGACACCATGAGAAAATATTTTGTATTTAGGTCATTTAGATCATTTAGTCACCCAAATAATTCATTTTGAGTAAAATTAAAAAAACTTTTTTTTGCCGATCTTAATAGCCTATTGGTATGGTCGGCTAAAAATCAGTGGCGCACATTTTTTTTCGAAAAAAATTCCAGTGATAACCCATATTAATGTCTGGTGAATATGTCGACACTTTTTTAGCATTAAAGGATGTCGCACTTTTAGCAACTTCTACCCTCAAAATTTCATTCGAATTACTAAAAGAACTTGGAAGAAAATTACAATAATCGAAAAAAATTAAGATTTAACCCCCTGCAGCTACGAAACAAAGCAGAATCGGACCTATGTTGATATATAAATAAATGTTATTTTTCCGTAAGGAATGACCCCACGAGAGATGATACACATGTTTTTTTTGAAGCAACTTGTATAAAAAAACTAATTATTTATTTATATTACTTTCATATGAATTTTAAAATATTTATATACTTTTACAAGAACCAATCTAATAATTGTTTTAATTAAAATTGATCTCTAAATATTTATTCATACCACTAATCAACAATAATCTTTATAGCATCCATTACAAAGCCTTGCAAAAACAAATTCAACCATTAAAATAATCAACTTGTAATTCGTGTGATAATAAATTATGTCTATTCGTAATAAACTTATACTCAAACAGTTCTTCTCGTTTATTTTTCCTGATAAAAATGGCTTTAAATATCGAAACAACTGTCAATTCACGACTAAAATAGATAAAACGGGTAGGCAAGTCTGTCTGGTTATGAGCTACAATCTTCGTAACGTCTTCTTTTATTGCTATGAATACTTAAAGTGAAAACTGTCCCTCTCTACGCGTTTTCTTATTTATATCTTTTTGCAAGAACGTAATGGATTGGCTGGTATGGAACGATCAATTAAATGTAACGAATAGCGACTTATATGAACCTGTGCGTTTTTGCTTTTATATCAATGTCAAGGTTGTAGTAGAAACGTTAAGAATAACAAGCTGTAGACGTCACGACATGTAATATGACAAGTTGTAAAGATTGTGGAACTAATAGACCAAGGAATGTTTACATTTAGTAGAATCTATAACATAAATTACAACTAATATTTTTTCAGTAAGGTGGGCGTCCATGAATTAATAATAATGAATAATAATAATAATGTTTATTGTGCAAATGTAAAAAAAGTACAAACGTATAACAAATTGAAGGCAATAATAATTAATCATTCCACCAAAAGGTTGGAGATTTGGTGTTACCCAATCTTCCACTCTACCTTATGAAAATGAATAAAAAACATGTTTTCTAGATTTAACCTAAATATTACATTAAAACACAAAATTTAAACTAAGATTATAAAACTAAGGTATTAATTAAAATAATGGTGACATTCCAATTTCAGATCTTACATTACTTTTAAACTGTACCAATGGCAAACTCAAGTAGGATAGGAGCCCTATAGAAAAAACAATCTTTATATTTTGATGTAGTGTGCTGGAGGACTATAAAAGAATTAACTCTAATGTTCCACATTATGAATTTGAGATCTGTTAACAATTAATTTTATTAAGTAAATGGGGATTTTGTTTTTAAATATTTTACATATTACCATCACATACAAATATTCCAATCTCTAATGATCTCGATAAGATAAATTGCACACAAATCTCATACCGGCGTTCTGGATTCTTTGTATTTTTTGCTTATTATATTTGGGTAAGAATGCATAATATACTTGACTGCAATAATCAATATGAGGATAAATCAGAGTTTTGACTAGATGTCGCTTAGTAAATTCGTCAAGTTGGTTCTTAAGAGAATATATTGATTTTAGCTTAAACATTGACATTTGATATACTTTACTACACTGATTCGAAAAGCTCAAGTCATACTTCAACTTTTTATTTTTAAATTACTCCTCGGTATTTTTTTACTTTGTTCGATAAAAAATGACACTCTGAATAGAAAGACATATCATATGTCAACTTTTGACATTATCGCCAAAAAAAAACGTATTTTAAGTATCAGTCTACAGTGCCATGGCGGTGTTAAAACACTAATTTTCAATCAAGGAGCCTTGGAAAAATAGATTTGATCGTCTAATGTTTTTTGTATCTTGTCCTAGCCGGTTAAAAGATGCCCAAATGGTATTTTTAAGAAAAACTTATTTTATCAAATGGAACGAGGGTGGCTCATTATTTGGCATGAAAATTTAAATCGACCTTAAAAAAATATTTTTCTCCAAACTTAATAAAAATTAATATCTTTGAAGATATGATTTTAAACAATTTTCGGACGATTTTAAACAATTTTCTTAAATTGCATTTCATTAAAAAGTTAGAACTAAGAGTACTTTATTCTCTTAAAAAATATAATTTTTAACACCTTAATCTTAAAAATATAATTTTTAAGGATACCCTGTATACATTTTTTATCTTTTTCAATCGAAAATTGTATTATTTTAAGAAGCAATTTTTTACAAGGACTGTGTATATCCCATCACCGGACTTAACGCTAAGCTTCTTCAGGCAGCAATTATTGTGGTTGTAGTTAAAATATGAAAAGAATAATTATCTACCTCACGCAGTATATTTATTAATTTTCATTAATTAAGCAGCATTAAATAATTATTCTAGTACTGATTAAAGGAATCTTGATTTCTATTATCGTTCGCTGCTTTCAGCTCTCCGTAAAGTCCTTCTTAATTAGGTATTTCAACTTGGTTGATTAATTATTAAAAATAACAATTTTAACACGTTAATTAATAAATAGTCATTTTATCATACAGTTTAAGAGTGGTTTCCACACTAAAAACCCTCCACTCGATTCGCAAAAGAGACAAATCAACAATAACACTCTTTAACTGGCCATCAGAAAATTCATTGATCAATTGGATTTAAATTTTTTACATTGATCAATTGAGTTAAAAACTTCTAATGCAATTAAAATTTTGATTATAAAACTTTTTGAACTGATATACCGGGTGCGTCTCAAGTGGCTCACCCCTATAACTTTTTTGTTGATGAGTATGTTAGTATATGACATAAATTAGGATTGATTGACGTATTCATTTTTAAACGGCACCCTCGGTATTTTTAGCCGACCATACCGACAGGTATTTAGGCTATTAAGATCGGCAAAAAAAAAGTTTTTTTAATTTCACTCAAAATGAGTTATTTGGGTCATAAATGACCTAAATACAAAATATTTTCATGGTGTCTGTCTGTCTGTCTGTCCGTCTGTCCGTCTGTAACACGATAACTCAAAAACCGCTAAACTCATTTTAACCAAATTTGGCACAAAAATACTGTGGCACCCGAGAATCTGGCCATTAGTTTTTGGTGGGAGTGGGGAGTTGGTAAGGGGGTATGGGAGGGGGTTAAAAATGATAAAAATCGTAACTCCAAAATTACAGTAGCTAGCGAAACGCGGTTTTCAATTGAAGATTACGAATTATATTTGCAACAAAATTTGTAATAACATCAAAATCAGTCAAAGTCGCAATTTTTGAGATGATTTGAGAAAAAAAAACGTATGGGCGGCACGTATAGCCGCCGGCTATACGTGCCTCCCGGCGCCAATTTTTTTACTCTATTCGATAGAAAATGACACTCCGAATAGAGTGACATCATAATATATGTCAGCTTTTGACATATTCGCTCAGAAACAAATTGTATTTTAAATTTTAATATAGAGTGTGTTAAAAACACTAATTTTTAAGCAAGGAGCCTTAGAAAAATAGAGTTGATCGTGTGTCCTGTCCTGACCGGTTATGCCCAAATCGTATTTTTAACTATATCTCATTTTTTTCAAATCGAACGAGGGTGGATCATTTTAGCATATTTGGAAAAAGCATTTTTTACGAATAATTTGATACCACACACTTGGTATTTCGAGTCAATTTGTCGCTATGAACCGCATGTTTCAGTTTCAAATAAACCATATGCGAAAATGTCAAAAGTTGACATGTGATATGTCATTCTATTCAGAGTGTCATTTTCTATCAAATAAAGTAAAAAAATACCCAGGGTGCCTTTTAAAAATCAAAAGTTGTAGTAATTTTCTGTGAAACCGGAAGTGACCGCAAACAATTGAATATGTCATTCAATCCTAATTTATGTCACATACTAACATATCAAATCTCATTGTTTTATCTGAAAAAATAAAAAAGTTATAGGGGTGAGCCACTTTTGAGACGCACCCGGTATACAGCAATTTTTTGATTCAGCGTTTTCCTATCGTCATAGTGTAGGTAGTTGTAACTCCCCCAAAGAAAGTTAATGGGTATCATGTTCAACTTTTCAGGCTAAGAGTTACTGTCCTTCTAATGCTACTATTTTCTTTACTGTTTTAGGTGCCTCAATATGCTGCCAAGTACGCTTTCGGATACAGAGTAGTTGATGAACAAACCGGCAACGACTTTGGTCACGAAGAAGAGAGAGACGGTGAGAATACTAAAGGGCATTATTTCGTCTTGCTACCTGATGGAAGAAGACAGAAGGTGGACTATTACGTAGACAACCATGGATACCATGCCAGAGTTAGCTACGATACCGTTGCTAGACACACTTACCTTCCTCCTCAGCAACGTGAAGAACCTGTCGTCGAAGATGCTCGCCATAAATAAACCATAGATGATATTTAATAGTATACAAGGTGATAACTTGAAAAGGAGTAATCGAAAATATTTCTTAGTAAAAATACTATAGAAGGAATTAGAGGGAAAAGACTGATTTCCCCTATATGTATTTGAGAACTTAATTACTTACACCGTAGCTCTTCAACCCTTCGTGGGTTTTAGCTGACTGTACAGGGTGAGTCAACGACAGAGTAAAGTCCATTATCTCATTTGTTTCGAGGTTTACAAAAAAATGTTAAATATAAAAGTTATAGGAAAGGTTAAGATACACATTTTAAAATTATTATAGAGTATACAAGGTGCTTCAAAAAAGTGTGGCGGATATAACATATTTTTTTTTTAAATACAACACCCTATTTTTTATTTTATTTTTAGTTTCTAATTAAATAAAACAAATAGTTTTTGTAATATTTAAATTTGTTTAAATAAATGTTAAATTGCAGCTTCGTAAGAAATTGTCAGTGGTGCCATTGTTTCTGAAGTTGGAATACCAAAATTTAGTAGGAGAGTTTTATAGAGATGATGTAGCATTTAACTAAAATATCTTTACATAAATCTTTTTCTATATCTCTATAAAATTCTCCTACCAAATTTTAGTTGTCCACCTTCAAAAACAGTGGCATCACCATCACTGACAATTGCAATCTAACATTTGTTTAAACAAATTTAAATATTACAAAACTATTAATTTTGGGTATATAACATTATATATAAAAAAGTTATAGAAATTTACGCAGAATCTAAAAATAAAATAAAAAGAGGACATTTAAAAAAACATATGTTATATTCGGCACACTTATTTGAAGCACCCTGTATGCTCTATAATCATTTTCAAATATGTATCTTAATCGTCCCTATAACTTTTATATATATATATATTTTTTTGTAAACCTCGAAACAAATGAGATAATAGACTTTATCGTTGACTCATCCTGTGCAATAAGTCTCCAAGCCCTGCTGGGTCCATCATGAGTCTTAAGATCGTTCTCGATGTTATCTCTCCATCTTGTACAGGGGCGGATACAGGAATTTATTTTATAGGGGAGCCACATAAAAAGTAATGTAGAATATGTTTTTAGTGAGCCATTTTTAACCCAAAAGTCTAAAATTTAACCCAATTTATAGATTTTAGGGGGGGCTTGGCCATAGTCTTCGACCTTTAGGGTTAGATTGGCTGGATTGCCTTACTAGCTTCACTCATCTACCATTTGGTTGTCTTTGGATGTGTCATGTAATCACCGGGAATTCATTTGGCGCACAATATCAGGATCTCTATACAGGTCATACAATTCTTCGTTCATTTTGATTCTATATCTTTGTGCGTGTTATCATCTATTAATGAGCCCCATATTATCAGTAAACAATTTTTATTTTATCGTTTCCTCAAATTGCATATGTTTGCGCATTTGAGATCCTCGTTATACTATTTTTTATCTAATAATATTCTCGATTGCTGCTTTTCAAATTGTGATCCAGTATATAGCAAAAACCTTTTAGTTTTTATGAGTATTTAGTCTGAAAATCAATTAATTAAGCTTGAAAATACTCTTGATAAATAATTTAAAAATATCTCAGAGTGGCATATTAAAAAAAACTTTTTGATAATTAATTTTTATTTACTGGTTACACATCTAAATGTAAATATTCTACTATTATAATATCAACTAGTCAATTTTTTAATTGTTAATTAAAATAATTGTTAATTTTTACTCAAGAATATAGTCTACTACGGGGCCATGTGCAATATATTTATGACATTATTGTTTTTATTTTAATTGTTGAGTTTTGTTATTATTTATTGTTGTTAATAAATTATTTTATATGGATGATAATGTTAGTTGTTTTATAATTATATCCTTGAAGCTATAAAGCTTCCTATAGTTAATTCTATATTTTCTGTGCTTTATAAGTAGTACTGGTGCTAATTTTATTCTAAAATATTTTTTGCAAGAATTATTTTATTAAATTTAATATCTACATATTATGGGAATGAAGGAATATGAAATGATATCCATCCAAATAAAGAGATTTGATAAATAAACTTTCTATTTTTGAAATCTGTATAGGCATAGACATTCAAAAACTACCTTCTACAATTTTGGATATGATTTTAAATGTTTCTTCTAGAATTGGACTGATATGTATCAAAAGTTTCTAAAGATAAGCGTAAGCTCGAGGAGGAGGAAAATTCCCCACAGTAGAATACCTTATATAGGGTTGTTCACTACATACGACACGGAGCATTGTAGCTAAATGATTAGATTTTTACAAATTGTAAGTTTTGGGTTTGTTGAAGGACTATAAGAGCTACAATTTAAAAATAATTTTACAAGATACAGAGTGTCCCAAATAAATAAAAAATATCAAAGTTGTATTTTTTTAAATAGAACGCCCTGTATATTAATACATTTTTAGTTTCTATGATTAAAATAAAGGTAAATTTGATTAAGGTTTATTACTCTTAAACCTTACCGTTTTTGAAATATTTTCAGTTTTGTGAAATTGCAGTCAAAATTTTAAGGCTTTATTTCTCCAAGGGTATTAAAGTTTTTAATACTAAATATTTACTGAAGTCTATTTATTGATCAGTTATTGTGTTGCAATAATAAAAATAATACTACCTCATACAGAGTGTCTAAAAATTTATTTTAAATTATTTCTAGCTTTAAACGGCAATAACTTGTTTAATTTAAATGGAACGCCCTGTATATTTTAGGAGAATCAGATGCACAATTTAATTGTCTATCAAATTGTATTATACAACTTTTTACCTATCCCTTCAAGTTTTCGTAGAAAATGCATTTTCTGATAATTTAGACCTCATTTATCAATATACCCATGGAATATTGACATTTAAGATTGTTTTTAAAGTAACAAATGTACAAAATGTACAGGCTAGTAATAATATCGTTTTTAGCAAAATGATAACATTACTAGCCCATTTGTATGCAAAAAGAAAACTATTTAAATCTTTATAAAAGAGTATACCATTAATTAAATATACCGCCCAAATACTAATTAATTACATACTTAATTATGTTTGTTAATAAATTATTCCAAATAAATGTGGATTTGAATGAGAAATCAATATAATAATAAGTTATGAAAATGAACGTCTCTGTTGTTATAAATAAGCATTTGTCAAAAAATGAAATATCATGTTTAAGGTGTTACTTTTTACCACACTGTCTAATACACATACAAAATTCAGTTTTTTAGTATTTGGAGCAATTATTATTAATCAACGCAAACAGTCAATTAATGTAGTTTGAATACTGGAATCATATTAATTGGTCCTCTTTAACAAATATTTAAACAGTTTTTTTATTTTTTAATGAAATAACCAAACTATATCGACAATATTAGTATCTGTACTCTAAAATTTGGTACATCTTTAAAAATAATCTAAGATGTCAGTATTCCATGGGTATATTGATAAATGAGTTCTAAATTACAAAAAAATGCCTTTTCCAAGGAAACTTGAAGAGATAGGTAAAAAACGGTATAATACAATCTGATAGACAATTAAATTGTGCATCTGATTCTCATAAAATATGCAGAGCGTTCCATTTAAATTAAACAAGTTATTACCGTTTAAAGCTAGTAATTATTTCAAATAAAATTTTAGACACTTTGTACAAGATAGTATAATTTTTATTATTGCAACACAATATCTGATCAATAAATAAACTTCAGTAAATATTTAGTATTAAAAACTTTGATACACTTGGAGAAATGAAGCCTTAAAATTTTGACTGTAATTTCACAAAATTGAAAATATTTCAAAAACGGTAAAGTTTAAATGTAATAGACCTTTATCAATATGTATTCCATTTAAAAAAATACAACTTTGATATTTTTTATTTATTTGGGACACTCTGTATCTTGCAAAAATATTTTTAAATTGTAGCTCTAATAGTCCTTCAACGAACCCAAAACTTACAATTTGTAAAAATCTAATCGTTTAGCTACAATACTCCGTGTCGTATGTGGTGAACAACCCTGTACACAAAATTTAAGCTCAGAAAATTCTTTAGAAATGGTTGAATACATTTTCGCCATAGGATTAACCTTAGATTGGCCTACTTCCTCTAGGAGATGTAAGACCTTGTCGTTGGTGGGGAAGCTCCTAGTCTTAGTCAGGTGGTAGGGGGAGTCCCCTGTAGCACTTTGGCTGGATCTTAGGAGCATCTCGCTGTTTTGTAACTTTCTATCACCCTTGCGGTGAAGCTGGAGGGAAACCCTCTACAACACTGAGAGCATTACCTGTGCAAGTTCCAAGGGACCTACCCCAAAGGGAAGTTAGCTGACACTTGCACAAGACCAGCCTCCACAAGTGGTATAAAGGTGTGACAACTCTTTTCAGATTCATCATTTATTTGTTCTGGGTAGCATGACTATCTTATAATTATAACCAAGATAATTAAATTAAGCGGTAGGCAGAACTTGGATAAAAAGTGCACCGACTCTTTGGGGCGTATATTTAATGTTTTGTCTTTATGATGTTATCTTCACAAATATACTACACATATACTTTAATTAATAATTTTCCTTAATTGCGACCCAACCTCTACCTGAAAATCTGTAGCTCTTTTCTGGTCTGTTCTGTAGGTATTCTGCCCGTTCATGATAATCTTGCTTATATAATTTTTAAACACTTAGTTATTTTTGTTATTGAAATAAACCGCCCGAGTTTTAAGAAAACACTTAAAATTTAATATTAAAAAAATAAAGAACAAAAAGAGAATATAATGGAAGTTACCTTTTTCTACTAAAAATAAAGAGAGATGGATAAAAAATTGTCTGGTGTCTGCTTTTATTGAGAAATATGATAATTATATTGATTGTGATGTTTGTTTTACAACATCATGTTAAAAGGGTCGTATCCAAGACTAACCGAAAACATCGACTTTACGTAAAGAAAATAGGAAATAATCTGTTAATAATATAAAAATAATAATATCAAGGAAATAATCTGTTATCTACACAGGCTACCACGTCTAGTGAGGGTCGGGAGCCTACCCCTAGACCCAACAGACTACATAGGTAAGCTACCGTTTTCTCTACACTGCCTGGGTCAACCAGGCGAGCTAGATGACCCGTCGAGAGTAGATTTCAGCTGAGCGGGAGTACGGAGATACCTCCGACTGCTCCACGAAGGATTTGCTCCAGAAGAAGTAAAAGCTAAAATACTACTCGAAAACGGGGAGTGTAAAGAAACCAAGAAACTACC